AATACTAATACTGGTTTAGCACGGCATCACAGTACCACTAGTACAGTACTAGAGTGCCACTACTGCACTACTACGGCTACAACCTTGCACTACGACTATTACAGTGCCACAACTACAGCACTGCATAACTACAATACTACAGCGATGCTGCGATATTACGGCATTGGGGTATTCCTACGACAGTACATACTACACTCGATGCAGGCAATAGTAGAGTACCACTAATACGAATACTGTACTAGAGTACTGCCTCTACAATGCCACTGCTACAGCAGTGCCGCACTACTTCCAAATAGTACAGCGCCCTTCCTACAGCACGACCGCTAAAAACACTCGAGTTCGAGGATACTACTACTGTGCTCGGGCACTAAAGTAGTGGACTACTTCTACTTCAATACGACATTAAGACTACTAATCCGTCCCCAATCCCTGCACGGGTCACCGTACCATTGTGCACAAACGGAGCCAACGCGGAATGCGATTGCAACGCAGAGCGATTGCAATGCCATGCAAGGTAATGCGATTGCAACGCAGTGCAATGCGACGTCTATGCAATGCGACTGAAAGGTGGACGGGAGGGGGGGAGGGGGGGAAGGAGAAGTGGGGGAAGGGGAGGATGTGAGATTGGGGGGTGAGGATGGGAGAGGGGGAGGAGGGGCGGGGGCAAAAAAAGAAACACTGAAAATGTGTTTGTTGTTTATATCTTGTTAGCTCATTGTTTCTTTATGTTTGTTCGCCCCCCCCCCCACCCAAAAAAAAAAAAATGCAAACCATCCCCCTTTGGCCACGACTCTGCGGGGTCACGACGTAAACGGAAACGCAACGCACGCAGGCCGCGACGCAAACGGCATCGGAAACGATTCAGACAGAACTGTTCCCCAAACCCACAAGAGAAAAAACGAACGCCCCGACCACAAAAAAACGAAACCGAACAGCAAGCCAAACACTTCAAAAACGCAGGGGGAATTCGGCCCCGTAACCCTCTCCTCCCTCCTCCCTCCACCCTTCTCCCTCCCTCCTCCTCCTCCTCTTCCTCCCTCCCTCCCTGACTCCCTCCTTCCTCCGTCATCCCTCCTCCCTCCTCCCTCCCTCCTCCCTCCTTCCTCCTCCCTCTTCATTCCTCCCTCTTCCCCCCTCCCTCCTCCCTCTTCCCCTCCTCCCCTCCTCCTCCCTCCCCCTCCCTCATTCCCCTCCCTCTTCCCTCCTCCTCCTCCTCCCTCCTCCCTCTCCTCCCTCCAACCCTTTTTCCCTCCCTCCTCCTTATGCCACCCTCTTTCCCTCCTCCATCCTCCATCCTCCTTTCTCCTCATCCTCCTCTTCCCTCCGCAATTACTCAATATGAATACTACTCTCCATCTTCCCCTGATGGCGTGCTGGGAGTAGTAGACCCCCCCGCGTACTGTTTTTACACACAGGATTCCCGGGAGTTGGGTTTTCGCCTGCGTCTTTTTCAAAATACTGCTCTCGCTGAGGCGCCAGCCTCATTTCTGCTCCCGAATCGTTCCGAATCGTGCTCCCGCTGCAGCGTGGGCCTCATGTTCGGATCGATGTTTGGCCTCCGTCGTTCAGGATGGCGTTCTCGCCCCAGCGCGGGCCTCTTTCTCGCGCGCCCATCCGCCCACCACCACCGCGCCGCACCACCACCACCACCACCACCACCACAACCACCACCAGCAGCAGCAGCACCACCACCACCACCACCACAACCACCACCACCACCACCACCACCACAACCACGCACACACGCACGCACGCACGCACGCGCACCACCACCCACTACGCACGCGCGCGCGGAGCCACAGGTCCGCTACGACACGCGTCCGCGGATAGAGAAAATCAGCGCCATGGTAAGGATGGGAGGGAGGGGTAGGACGTCAGATATGACGCGAGCGCACCTAGCTTGCCCCTCCCCCCTCCCCCCTGCCTCCTCCCTCCCTCCTCCTCCTCCTCCCTCCTCCTCCTCTCCTCCTCCTCCTCCTCCTCCTCCTCTCCTCTCCTCCTCCTCCTCCCTCCTCCTCCTTTTCCTTATAAATAACTTCTCCACTGTCGCACCCCGAGGCCAGGTTTTAGCGCGGGCCGGGCGTTTCGCCTGCGACTTCCTCACCACTTGTGACCCTGCTTGGCAACAGCTTCCAAGATGGAGGGCGGGTTGTTGTTTCTAAATGTGGTGTTTGCCTTAGCGCCGCGCACATTCGTCTTAAATAATTGCAAGAGTTTCACGGATTGAGGGCGGGTGGTTTTCAAAATGTCGCTCTCGCCTGAGCGCCGCGCACATTCGCTTCAAAAATGTGCAAGAGTTTTACGGAGTGAGGGCGGGTGGTTTTCAAAATGTGGCTCTCGCCTGAGCGCCGCGCATATTCGCTTCAAAAAGTCTCACAATTTGAGGGCGAGTGGTTTTCAAAAGGTGGCTCTCGCTTTAGCGCCTGGCACATTCGTTTTAACAATTTACCAGAGCTTCACGGATTAACTCTCGCCTTCTCGCCGTGCACTTGTCATCGAAAAATCCATGAGTTATCATGAGTTTCACGGACTCCCATGATCGACATACCAGAAATGGCGTTCTGGAAGGATTCGCGATTGAGGGCTCAACATTTACGATGATTCGCTGTGTTGAAGTCCCAAAAATGGCGTTCTCGCACGATTCAGGACCGTCAAGACGCAACAGTCAGGTTGGTCCGTGGCGCTGGAATCCCAAGAACAATGTTTCGGCACGTTTCAGGGTCTTCAAACGGTTGTCTTCCAACAAGGTAGGTCCTACCGTTGGAAGGGCCCATAAAGAGGGAGCTTTGGGGGAGGGTTTATTCCAACATCGTTGGTGACTCTTGGGTTTACGCTGATCTTCCTCCTGCTCATCCTGCTCCTCCTGCTCCTCCTGCTCATCCTGCTCCTCCTGCTCCTCCTCCTCCTCCTCCTCCTCCTCCTCCTCCTCCTCCTCCTCCTCCTCCTCCTCCGCCCAAGCCCTTCCTACAGTCAGGTGGATATTGTTGGTAGTGAGCTGTTTGAGCGCGTGTCAGCAAGATCGGGCTCGGGCTCGGGCTCGGTCTCAAGCTCGCGCTCCTGCTCGGGGTCGGGGTCGGGCTCGCGCCCGGGCTCGGAATGGCGCTCGCGCCCGAGCTTGCACGCGCGCGCACGCGCGCGCACGCGCGCGCACGCGCGCGCACGCGCGCACGGACTGCCCCCGTTTGAGGGCGAGGCCTGACTACAATGCTAGGACACCCACCCCTGGGCCCCGTACCTCCCCCCGACCTCACTTATATGTTTTTGGAAAAGCCTGAACGGGGCATGGCACCAGCGCCCAATATTGACGGGGAGAATATCGCTCCAGCAGATTATGCCGTCAAGAGGGTGGGTTCCAGCCCCCTCACAAGGGACATCGGTTCCACCAGCCCACGGCGTGGGTTCCAGCATCGACTTTCAACAAGGAAAATGGCTGCAGCAGATTATGGCGTCAAGAAGGGTGGGTTCCAGCACCCGAGTTGTTTTAAAGGGACAATGGCTCCAGCAGCCCACGGCGTGGATTCCAGCACCCACTGCTGACGGGGGGAAATTGCTGCAGCAGATTATGCCGTCAAGAAGGGTGGGTTCCAGCACCCGAGCTTTACGAGGGACATGGCTCCAGCAGCCCTCGGCGTAGCTTCCAGCACCCACTTCTGACGAGGGAAAATGGCTCCAGCGGATTATGCTGACAAGACGGGCGGACTGTCGACTGAAACGGCAGCTGGGGCGACCCGCACCCCAGCCACGAACCTGCCTGCAGTCCGTCAAAAATTTCACAAGCAGAACATTCACCTAACGTTAAGGAAGAACATCGGACAGGGATACATCGGGGATCTCTGAGATCAGGCGGTGCTGGAGGATGCACCAGGCGCCGCAAACTTCTCAGAGCGTTCCGCAACGCTCTGAGAGCGTTCTGGAACGCTCTGGAGCAATTCACGCAGTAAGCCCGCCCGGAGCTCCACTGAAACGGACGGCGCCCGGCGGCACCGACAGCGAGACCAAAGGCCTGCCACTTCGCCATGCACCAGCGATACACCGGCGATGCCCCGGCGGTGCGGCAGCGGATGCATCGGCGACTGCGCGGCGGAGAAAGCTGCGCTCCTAAGTGAGCAACATCGCCGCTGCGCTGGCGACTCGGCGCAATCCTCTGGCCCCATCTGCTCGAGCCCCATGCGTTTGATTCCAGAGACCCAGAATCCAACAAACAACCATCTCTGGGGGGGGGGGAGGCGGACATCTACTTCCGCCGCCCTTCCACCGCCCCCCGCCAGCGGAGCCGCCGCCGCCGCTTGGCTCCGCCGCACTCTGCCACCCCTCCGCCGCCTCCCGCCGAGGAAGGAGCCGAGGTCGCAGCCATCTCGGCCCCTCGCGTGGCGAGCAGGGCGCCGCCCGGCCCCGGCCCCCACCCCGGGGCGGCCCGTGGGGAGGGGCCCGGCCAGAGGCACTGGGCAGGAGGCGGGGGCCCCTGCCGGCGCCCGCTCTGCTCCGCGCCGCCCGCTCCGGCCCCGCCTGCCCTGGGCACCTCGGCCCCTCGGCCAGGGCCGTCTCCACGGCGGCAGCCCGACCGAGGAGGCGAGAGGACGGAGGCCGACGGAGACGGGCAGCCAGCAGGCAGAGCCGAGGAGGGCGCAGCGGCCCGAGAGAGATCCGACGGGCTGATTCTCCCATCCGCGGCCCCCGGAGCTCTCCACCACTTCCCCCGGGAGCCGTTTCTCCCCTCCCGGGCCCACGTCCGAGGGTCCTGGGGCCCGAACGTGGCCCCAGGAGGCCGGAATCAAAGAGGAGCGTCAGGATTGGGACAAAAACAAAAAAAAAAAAAACGTCCGCCCGAAGTCTGGGCAGCCAGCAGCGCCACGCAGCGCCCGGGCCGAGCCGAGAGCCGCCCGAGCGCCGCCGACCGCGGCGCGGCCGCGCCGCGGACGCGTTCCCGTTGCGGCCCCGTTCAGCCCTCGGCCCGCGGCCCCCGTCGGCCTCCCGGCCCGCCCACAGAGGCGCCCGCTGGCCTCGGGGCGCATGGGGTGGGCGTCCAGCCGCCTGCACGCCTCGTCCAGGGCGTCGCGATGGTGGCGCCTGTGGCCCTCTCTCCCTCCCGGGGGGGTCCTCCTCCTCCTCCTCTCCTCCTCCTCCTCCTCCTCCTCCTCCTCCTCCTCCTCCTCCTCCTTCTGCTTGTCCTCCTCCTCTTCCTCCTCCTCCTCTTCCTCCTTTTCTTCTTACTATTCAATTTAGCATTATTGCGAGTATGTTTATTACTCGCATTATGAACATTATTCCCCGCATCGAAAATTGACTTCTTCTTTTTTTGGCTGGACACCCTCCGCGCAAGAATTTCAATTCCCTCCCACTCCGCCTCACTCACGCATTAACCCCGTCATCGGTCATCATCACCATCGGTCATCATCACCACCACCACCATCATCATACTCGGTCACTCACCATCGATCACCATCACCATCGGCCATCGACCATCACCATACTCAATCGCACATCACCCACAAACTATATATATATATATATATATGTATATATATACCGCTATCTCTCTCATTATATTTCTCTATGAATATGTGTAGATACATATATATATGTGTGTGTGAGAGTATATGTACATATATGCATATGTAGGTATGGATTATTATATCTCTTTATTTCTCTCTCTCTCTCTCTCTCTCTCTCTCTCTCTCTCTCCTCAGCATCATTGTCTCTGGTGTCCCGCGCAAAGTCTCTGAGGACTGATTTCGGAGGAAATCTCAAGCGGGAACCTCCAGTGTGAGTGAATTGCAAAGAAATCTCAGGCAGGAGCCCCTTTTCCTTATGGGGCCCGCACCCCCTGCTGGAAATCCGAACGGGTCATCGAAACCCTGTAACTGTCGTCACTTTTGGGCTCCTGAACCTTGAATACGGGCGAAGTGTCAGGCGGGAGGTTCGCCTGTGAGCGAATTGCGAGGAAGTCTTGGGCGGGAAACCCCTCCCTATGGGACCTGCACTTATTTTCTGTTTTATCCGAGCGGGTCATCCTCACCCGTGTAACTGTCGTCACTTTCGGGTTCCTGACGTGTGAATGTGGGGAAAGTATTAAGCGGGAGCGACGTCTGTAAGTGAACTCCGAGGGAACCTCAAACGGGAGTCTTCTCCCTATGGGGCCCGCGCCCCACAGCTTTTATCCGAGCGGGGTCATCATCACCCATGTAACTGTCGTCACGATTGGGGTCCTCACGCCTGAAGACGGATGAAGTATCAGGCGGGAGCCTCGTCGGTGAGTGAATTGTAAAGAAATCTCAAGCGGGAGCCCCCTCCATATGGGGCCCGAACTTCACGCTGGTAATCCGAGCGGGTCATCGGAATCATATAAATGTTGTCGCTTTCGAACTCCTGGGGCATGAAAATGAAAAGTATCAGGCGGGAGCCTCGTCTCCGAATGAACTGCGAGGAAGGCTCGGGGGGGCCCTCCTTATGGGGCCCGCATATCATGTTTCTGAAGAAGTCTCAGGCGGGAGCCCCCTCCCTATGAGGCCCGCGCTTCACGTTGGTCATCCGAGCGGGTCATCGGAATCATATAAATGTCGTCACTTTGGGACTTCTGAGGCGTGAATAAGGGGGAAATATCAAGCGGGAGCCTTGTCTGCGAGTGAACAGTGAGGATATGTCAGGCGGGAATCCCCCCCCTCCGGGGCCCGCACTCCGCATTTTTTATCCGAGCGGGTCATCATCACCCATGTAACTGTCGTCACGTTTGGGGTCCTCACGCCTGAACATGGAAGATATCCGGCGGGAGCCCCGTCTGTGAGTAAATTGCGAAAAAGTCTCAGGCGGGAGCCCCCCCCATATGGGGCCCGCACTTCACGTTGGTAAGCCGAGCGGGTCATCGGAATCATATACATGTTGTCACTTTGGGGTTCCTTCGGCTTGAAAATGAAGGAAATATCAGGCGGGGGCCTCGTCTCTGAATGAACTGCGAGGAAGGTTCAGGCGGGGGCCCCCTCCTTATGGGGCCCGCAGATCATGTTGTTGAAGAAGTCTCATGCGGGAGCCCCCTCCCTATGGTGCCCGCACTTCACGTTGGCAGTCCGAGCGGGTCATCCTCATCCGTGTAACTGTCAATATGGAGGAATGAATACGGAGGAAGTCTCAGGCGAAAACCTCGTCGAGCCCGCAGTGCATGCTTTTCATCCAAGGCGGGTCGCCGGAATCCTGTAACTGTCGTCGTTTTTGGGCTCCTGGGGCTTGGGTATGGGGGAAGTATCAGGCGCGAGCCTCGTTTGTGAGTGAATTCCAAGGAAATGTTATGCGGGAGCTCCCCCCCCTATGGTGCCCGCACCTCCTGTGTTTCCTCCGGGTCGTCCTCTGGGACGTCCTCAAGCGCGCGTCTCCTCTGGGTCGTCCTCCGGCGCGTATCTCTTGGGACGCACGTCGTGCGCTTCCTCTGGGTCGTGTCCCGCACGAGGATGAGGAGGAGGAGGAGGAGGACGGGGAAGAAGAGGAGGAGGCGGAGGAGGACGACGAAGGAGGAGGAAGGAGGATGCAGGACGAGAAAGAGAAGGAGGAAGAGGAGAAGGAGGCAGAGGGCAAGAAGGACGAGGAAGACAAGGAGGAAGGGGAAAGCCTTAGGAGGCCCCAGGATGTTCGGGGGAGGCCCAGAAGGCTCCAAGAGGCCCCAAGAGCCCCAGGAGGAGGCAGGAGGCCTAAGGAGGAGGCTGGAGGAGGAGGGAGAGGAGGACGGGGAGGAAGATGGAGACGAGGAGGGGTAGGCGGAGGAGGGAGAAGGAGAGGAGGAGGCGGGAGAGGGGAAGAGGAAGAGGAGGAGGAGGAGGAGGGAGAAGGAAAGCAGAAGGAGGAGAACGCAGGAGGCAGGAGGAACAGGGGGAACGGGGTGAGGAGGCGCAAGGAGGAGGAGGAGGAGGAGGAGGAGGAGGAGGAGGAGGAGGAGGAGGAGGTGGAGCAGGCAAGAGGAGGAGGAGGAGGCAGGGGTTGAGGCAGGAGGAGGAGCAGCCAGGATCAGGCAGGAGGAGAAGGATGAGGCAGGAGTAGGTGGGAGAAGGGAGGGGGCAGGAGATCCCCAGGCAAGCTAAACATAATCTCGTGCGGGGTCCTAATTATTCTTACTTTGCGTTCCGCTTATTAATTTTCTTTTTCTTAATCATACTATTGCGAGAATTCGTCGTATTGTGTTTTTTACCGATATTACTGTTCGTAGTCGCCACAACCACAACCCACTACCACCACCGCCACAAACCACCACCACCACACTACCACCAAACCACCACCACCACCAGCACAACCCACCACCACCACCACCACCAACCACAACCACACCACCACCAAACCACCACCACCACCACCACCCACCGCCACAACCACCACCACCACCACCACAACAACAAACCACCTCACCACCACCACCACAATCACCACCACCGCCACCACCACCACCACCACCACAACCCACCACCACCACCACCGTCGTCCTCGTCGACGCTCCCCGCCACCGCCGCCCGCCGCCGCAGGCGCCGGCGCTGGCCAAGAAATGGAAATCGTCGTCCCCGCCGCTGTCGCCAGCCGCCGCCGACCCAAGCGCAGCGCCGGCCCGAGGAGAAGGGAAGCAGGGGGGGGGTCGAAACCCCCCACCCCTCCGTCACGAGAGGGGGGGAGGGGGAGGAAGGTTCGAACCCCCCCCACTCCGTCACGGGAGGGGGGGGGCGGGGGGTTCGATCCCCCCCCTCCATCCAGGGGGGGGGTCCGGTTCCAAACCCCCCCTCCCCCTCCCAGCGACCACATTACGCGCTCTTTCATGTGTATATATATAGAGAGATATAAATGTGTATATACATGTTTATGTGTGTATGTTGGTGTGCAACGAAAAACGTCGATTGAAATGCATCGACGTCCCTTCCGGCTTACAGCGCCGCTTGAACATAGTTCGAAGCAACCTCCGCTCCCAGACTTTCAACAGAGTCGAAGCCGTTGAGGACATATGCCACGAAATGTAAAAAAAGCTGACAGATGTTGAAGACCACCTGCTCCAAGCCTGCATTGTGTTTCAGGCCAAACCAGCTCGCGAAAGACGAGGGAGTGTGTCCAGAATGATGCAGATGCCTTTCACAAGTGATGGCCCAATGAGGTAGAAGTGTCGCCGACATGTGACACAAGTTGGATCCCAACGCATCCTAGTTATGCACCCACTGGGAAACATAATATTTACCACCTGACAAGCTCAAACTGTGGATGTCTGGCCTCCCGCGGCCAACAAAATTGTAAAGACGAAGCTTTCCAGTCCTTCCTCCTCCCCCTCCTTCTCCTCCTTCTCCTCCTCCTCCTCCTCCTCCTCCCTAACCCGCTTCCTCATCCCCACCCAACCCCCACCCCACTACTTCTTCCACCTCCACCTCCCACTCATTCTCCTCCTCCTGCTGGGCAAACGCGGGGCGCATCAGGTCGGAGTTGTGGTTGTGGGCGAGGATGGTGCGATGGAGGTCCTCTGGGAACTCTTCTAGCGGCGTCCTCATCCTCGTGTTGCCTCTTCCACCACTTCCTCCCCCTCCTCATCGTCCTCCTCATCCACAGCATCATCATCCAGCTCCCTCCTCCCTTCTCATCTGCTGCCGTGCCTTCAGCATGTAGTGGAATGCCCTGAGGCCCGTGCAGATGTGAGCGCGAGAGAGAATACTTTTAAATGCACAGACCACCAGATTGCCAGAAATTCTGTGCACTCATGGGCGCTTTCGGAATTTGTTGCGGGGGCCTCATGAAAACGAAAACCCGCTCAAACCAACTCCAGCATCCCCGAAAAACCTCGCAAACAACGCTCAAACGGCTCATGAAATCTAGGTACGTAGCCACACAGGGCCATCCCGGGGCTCTCTTGTGGACCTGTTGGGTCGTCTTGGAGGCCCCGGGGCGGGCCCGGGTGACCAAAATCATCGAAAAACAATCTGGAGTATATGATTTCCACACACTCGGCTGTTGGATCTTCAGAGCGTCCAAGACGGACCAAAGCGCCAGAAGACCCGCCCCCGAGAGCCTCCGAGGGCGATAGAAGCCTCCAGAAGCCCCCAGGAGGCGCCCAAAGAGGCCTCCAGCGAGGTGCTCAGAGGTGCAAAAAAACACAGACTGTAAGAACAGAGGTGTTGTTATTTCCGAGGTTGGAGTCGGCCTCAGCTCCCAGGAAGGCTTCAGCAAGCCTCAAGACACCCCAAGACAGCCCAAAGCTGCTTCAAGGGAGCCCCCCGGATGGCCCCAAGACAGTCCCTTGCCATCGCTCGGGCCTCCATTCCCCGTGCACTCCTCGATCTCGCGAGTGTTCGCAGGATGATCCGAGATGCTCCTCGATTGTCCTCGGCGAAAAAAGGCACACGTCCGAGCGATCCCGAGGCCCGAGAACCCTCCAAGAGGGGCCAGGAGAGCCCCAAGGCGACCCCGCGAGATCCGCCCAGACGCCCCCAATGATGGCCCGACCGAGCCGCGCAGGGAGAGATCGGCAGGACCTTGGCGCCGAAGACGGGCTCGATGTCCCCGAGGGGCCCCCAACCGGCCCCGACAGACTCCCAAGAAGCCCCAGGGAGAGCCCCACTATTTGCCGAGGCCAGACAAGAACGAGGACAAACCTGAGACCCGTTGAGCTGGCGCGGGCCTACAACTCACTATCCTTCCTGCCGCGCTGTTGCGTTGGCAGGTCCTCCAGCGGCTCCCCAACAGATCCCCAACAGATGCCCAAGGGAGCCCCCCAGAGGCCTCGGGCGTGCCTTCTCAGTGGGAGGAGCGAGGATGAAAAGATGGGTGAAAAGATGGCGGATGAAAGGAAAGGAGAACGAAGCTGCGGACAAGCAGGCTTGTGCCCAAGGCCCGCACCCGTTCAAGCAAGGCACTGAATTGGTCCGGGTCTCAAACTCGACCTCGTTCCTGCTGCGCTGCTGCGCTGGCACGGTGCGCAGATAAAGGAACTGGTTCTAATGTCGTTTCGCCGTTACCTTTCTCGCACTGTCCTCTGCCCCACGTGTCGCATCTCTCCACTCATCTTCTCCTTTCCGAGTTACTCAGGGGGCGCACGGCGCCCAAACAAAAGCCTGGCGAGGGACCCAACCCAGAGCAGATGCGAGCAGCGCAGGATGTGATCCTCTCATCATGAGCAGCGCGCCGCGAAAAGGAAGAAGCTCCCTGTGGGGCCGCGGAGCGTGTGAGGGTGTCCCGCAGTGGGCGGTCGAACGCTATGCAACACCAGGCCACCGAGGCTTTTCGGCGGAACCCCCATGCGGAGCCACGAAAAGCGTTCGCAGTGTAGCCGAACTGGCGAAGCACTGGCAGCATCGAGTCGGTCACGAGGCGTTTCTTGGGGTGAGTCGACATGGGCGGGCGGGGTCGCATGCGACACCTGCCTCTGGGGCATGGAGCTCCCCGTGGGGCCACGAAACGCGTGAGCGGGGGAGCGCATGCTGTACCCTGCCGCCGAGGCATTCGGTGGAGCTCCATGTGGGGCCACAAAAAGTGTGAGGGACGTGCCGACATGAGCGGGAAGGGCATGCAATAGTCTGGCACCTAAGCATTCGGTGGAGCCCACCTGTGGGGCCACGAAACGTGTGAGGGGTGCGCCGAAGCGATCGGAGGACGCCTGCGATACCCTGTCACTGGGGCAGTCGGTGGAGCACCCTGTCACGAAACATGCGAGGGGCGTGCAGAAACGAGCGAGATAACGTTATGCAGCACCATGCCACTCGGACCTTCGGTGGAGCTCCCTGTGGGCCCCAGAACGTGTGAGGGGTGCGTCAAAATTGGCGGGGGGGGCGCTATGCAAAATCATACCACCCGGGCCGTCGATGGACCCTCGACGGGGCCACGAAACGTGTAAGGGTGTGCCGACAGGAGCGTGGGGACGCCATGCCAAACCATGCCGTTGGGGCTGTCGGTGGGGTCCCCTGTTGGGCCACAAAACATGTGAGGGGCGTGCCGAGATGAGCGCGGGGGCGCTAGGCAGCACCGTTCCACTAAGGCCTTCTGTGGAGCTCCCCGTGGGGCCACGAAACGCAGGAAGCGTCTGCCGAAATTGGCGGGGGGCGCCATGCAACACCATGCCACTGAGGCAGTCGATGGTGCTCCCTGTGGGCAAAGAAGGCCTAGAGGCGTCCAGGAAACCCTAAGGGGGCCCAAAGAGGACCCACGAGACCAAGACGGAGTCAGTCAACGAGGGAGCCAAGACGCTCCGAGAAGGCAGCAGCACACCGTCTACAAAAAACTGTGATTCTACGTGTTGTGATGGCCGTCTGGCTTCTTACCTGTATGTCTCTATGCTTCTCACATCGGCCGCTGGAGACCAAAACATAGCTCCAAGATCGCCCACGAGGATCCACATATCTAGAGACCCTAAGACGTCATAAACATCGCCCGATATGTCCCAGGAGTCCCAAGATGGTCTTTAGCGGCCCCTAGGAAGCGTTGCCCAAGATCCGCCACCGTGCCGTGCGCATGCTGAGGCGCGAAAGAATGCCAAGGCCTGTCTGGTAGGGCCTCTGGATCCTAATCCCACCAGCTCTTAGGGCGCGAGTGGTTTCAGGCGTTTCCTCGTCCAACCCCCACTCTTCCCCTCCCCCACCCCCGACCCCGAGACCTGGACGGGGCGCCCTGCGGGGGGGTGTAGCGTCCAAGACGGCCTCGGCGGGGAAACCAATCTCACTGATGTCACTTGGGCTACAGGCGGCCCTCCAACAGGGTCCGAAGAAGCCAAAACCAGTGAGCTCCCTTTGAATTTTGAATGATTGTCGCACTCTCGCTGTTTGGGCTTCCGTCAGCTCAGGACGGCCCAAAGAAGCGTCCACGATAACCCCAAGACGGCCCACAAGGCCGACAATGCCACCAAGAGGGTCCGAAGATGGCCCAAGAGGTCCCACGATGCCCAGAGAGGCCCCAACGACAGCCCCAAGAAGGCCCAAGGGGGCATCCGGTGGGACCCAAGGCGGCTTTCGAAGGCCTTGCGACGGCCCAACCCGGCCCCACGACGGCCCCCATACACCCAACATACGGCCAAGAGGGCCCCAAGACGGCCCAAGAGAGCCCCAAGATTGCGTAAGAGTGTCCATAAAGCGTTCTAGAGGGCCCCAAAGGACCGCCAAGACTGCGTCACTCGAGGCCAAGACAGCCTCAAGACTGCCCAAACAAGTTCCATGAAAGCTCCGCAAATACTGAAGACGAAAGCTGTCACATGTGACGACCTTCCTTCTGCCTGCTCCTCCTCCTCATCCCCCTCCTCATCATCAGAAGCAGCATCGTCGTCGTTGTCGTCACCACCGCCAGAATCCGCACCCTCATCATCAGAAGCAGCACCACCACCAGAATCCGCATCCTCATCCTGATCGTCGGCATCAGCAACACCTCCATTCTCGCAACGGCATCATCATCATCAGCATCATCATCATCATCATCATCATCATCATCATCATCATCATCATCATCATCATCATCATCATCATCATCATCATCATCATCATCATCATCATCATCATCATCATATTTCATCATCATCATCATCAGCATCATCATCATCATCAGCATCACCACCACCACCACCATCATCGTCATCATCGTCATCATCGTCATCGTCGTCATCATCATCAGTATCAACATTATCATCATCATGACCACCACCCCCATTATCATCAGCATCAGCATTATCATCCCCATCATCCACATCATCGTCATCATAAACGGCAGCAGCATCATCATCATCATCATCATCATCATCATTATCATCATCAGCAGCAGCACCGTCATTAGCAGCATATCATCATCAGCATCATCATCGCCATCATCATCATAAGAATCATCTTCGTCATCAACATCAGCATCATCAGCATCATCATCATCGGCATCATTATCAGCATCATCATCGTTATCAGTACCATCATAATCACCGACATCGTCATCATAGTCAGCAGCAGCAGCAACATTATCAGTACCGTCATCATCACCATCACCACCACCATCATCATCATCATTAACAGCATCGTCATCATCACCAGCACCATCACCGACATCACAATCATCATCATTATCATCATCAGCGGCAGCAGTATCATCATCATCATCGCCATTGTCATTATCAGAATTAAGAATCATCACCAGCATCATCATCGTCATCATTATTATCATCATATTCATCATCATCGTCATCATCACCATCACCATCAACATCATCCTCGACATCGTCATCCGCAGCATCAGCACTATCATGATCCTCCTCCTCATCATCATCAGCATTATCCTCATCGTCATCAACATCACCATCATCATCATCAACATCATCATCACCACCACAATCATCAGAATCATCGTCGTTACCGTCATCGTCGTCATCATCGCCATCGTTATCGCCATCGTCAACACCACCACCAGCAGCAGCAGCGTCAGCATCAACCGTCTCTTCCTGGCTCCTCCTCACCTGGGCGGTGTCGGCGGCACAGGCGCAGGAGGCGGCACAAGACCCAGGGTGCTCGGGTCGAGCTGTGCGACGCGCGAGTGACAACTACATTAACAATAGCTGGCATGCCAACAGGAGTTGCTGAGTCTCCACAAGGGCGGTGAATGTGCTGCCTGTGCTTTTCCAGCTGAGCCGCAATGAAAAAAGCGGTGACATTCGAGCTCTTGAATCCGCCGAATTCCTTGGTGTCCCCGAAACTTTCAGATGAATCATTGGCGGGGATCGCATGGCACGGGTGGGAGCATTGCGACCGCACCGCCAGAGGGACAGGCCTTGGCTTCGGCTGTACCGAACGGGGAGCTCCAGACCTCCTCCGGCACGTGGATCAATCATCATCATCATGATCAGACTCAGAACCGTTATCCCGATCATCATCGTTATAATCCTCATCAACATCTTCATCCCCATCATCATCACCAACATTGTCATCATCATCACAATCACCATCGCAATCACCATCACCGTAACCGTCATGATCATCGCCATCATCATCATCATCATCATCATCATCATCATCATCACCACCATCATCATCATCAACATCC